TGTCAGAGGTGTCAGAGCAATTCAATTAATGTCAAATTCGACGGGGTAGTGATCGCTGACTTCTTTCGCCTAAAATAAGATTATCACCAACTTCACATGTCTTTATAACAAAATGAAGGGTCGGAGGTCACTGCGCTGCTTCATGAGGCTGAGCACTATCAGTGGCTTAAACGAGTGAACACATGAAAGTGGTGTGAATTCATCCGCATCAACAAAGCAACAAATTGATGCTACTTTCGGGCATACAAGATTGCTTCAGGCGTTAAGGCAAAGGACAACCTGGCAACCAACCTTCTGTAAGTCCAGCTGGTATTCGTCTCGAAAGTTGAAAGGATTTGCCTTAGGAATTCGGGCTTCCATTTCAAGGCCCTTGACTATGACCCTGCAAGTCACAGTGCATTCAATTCTCGCTTGCTCAAGCAGTGTTTCCTCTTCATATTTCTCAAACAACACAAAATTTATTTATCTCCTCATGTTAAAAACAGCCTAATTTTGCTCAGTATTTTGGTGCATTGATCATCGTTTTGGTTTCCTTGACACTGAATGGTCGGCTTTTGTAGATCCGCAGAGCGGTAAGGGCCCAGGGACCACGCCGGTAGCATCCATCTTTTCAGCACGGTAATGGTATATTTTCCGCCCTAGTATCAGGTGTCCATTCGTCGAAAGAAGCTGCAACGTGCTACAGAGCTTCCAACTCGTTTGGGGAACAAAAAACCCCCAATAATGATGATCTGGAAAACCAAACTTCAGTCAGCCAAGGTAAAATTAGCTGTTACATTCAAGAAATTATCAATAGACTTCGGAAACCTCAGAATATGGTTTAAAACTCAGCAGAGGATTGGAAATATATCATGTGAACCGAAAAAATGTTCAAGAATGACCGTAGTGTGTATAATGACCCAGGCACTCATTAAGAAGTACTCAGGTTTAGTGTCGAACATTTTCACTTAGCATGCCTTGCTCATAGGAGCCTCGGATGGCAACCGAAACACATCTTAAGCATCCTTTTTCAAAGTGGTCTGCGCGCAATCATGCCGCTGTGGCGGAAATGAGGTGCAGCAGCGTTGTCTATTTTGGAACATCGGTACACGATGTGTTTGGGCAGGTTCGCCGTACTTTAAAGTGCGTGTGCTGCACCGGTATTGGCATAGGATCAGTTGCAGCAATCGATTGCCTCCGCAAAGTCTGCCCGCTAAGATGAAGGTTTAAATAAGAATTGACAAATGGAAAGGCGGAAATGTCATGGAATCATCAGTCATTTAAAAGAAAGGGTGATTTAACGACAGTATTCTATCTTCGATAAGGTATATAGGTCTATTCAGCCATTTCAGTCAAGTAAGCGAATGGGCTGGATATTTTTCTGCTGTCCAGGCAACATGATGCAACTTTCGTTTTCAGATTTATCTTTTCTCACTTCACGGAATCTGTCGGTCTTGACATTAAATAGCATTCCATTAAGTATTCTTGGACGGAGCGGTGAAAGTAAAATAAACCATTATTTTTTATCATGCCAACGCATATGCAAGGTGAAGTCTTCTATCTAAGCACCACGAGCTGCTTTGCTAGGACATTGTTGAAACACGCAGACACGAGATCAATAACACTCGATTGCTGAGAAACGAAACGCCATTCCCCGCACCACCGTCCTTCTTGTAGGCTGTGCCAGGAGGTGTAAACAGAAAACACATCTCAATCCCCTTCTATCTCCCCTGTACTCGGTGCTACACTGAACTGGAGGAACCTTGAAGCCATAAGTTAAAGTAATTCGTTATTATAACATCTATTTCAAGTATGCGAAGACGTTTAATCGACAACGAAGATGGATATGGATAGAGGCAGACGGGGACACAACATCCTCGACTACGCACCCCTTGGCTCTGTTCATTTTTACGCATCAAGCTTTAGCTTACCGTTGGTGTAGTAAGACGCGGACTTATTACGTGAAGGCAGAAGAATAAAACTGTCTGCAGTAACAACATCGAATGGCAAACGTAAGCTTCCGACTTCTTGGTTAAATAAATACAAAATTATTTACTATTTCGCTAAAGAAACGATTCATTCTTTTGATATCAGAGTTATTTTGAATTTGGCAGATTCGTCAAACGATAAACTGAAAAATGAATTGCGTGGAGGTAGTTGTATGCACT